ACATTCATTTTGTATTTACTTCAACATTTTTTACCATTATACTATTATTTTAAGATAAGAAAAAAATATTGGAGTTTCATACTTTTTGTTTCTTTTTAACTAATTTATTTTAGACGTTTTTCTCTAGATTATTATATGATGATTTTGAAACTTTTCATGTATATAGAAATAGAAACAGATAGACTAGAAACGATATCTCTTATCTCAATGATACCAAAGAAAGGGATATTAAATGAATGGAATTAGTATATGGATGGACTATAATGAAATAGAGCCACTTTGAGGTTCCCTATGAAATGCATCTAAACTTCAACATAAATGATTTTGTCAATTTTTAAAAATACATTACCTTGTATTTACAAAAAGTTAAGAGGGTTGGCTCCAGCTGATGTGGACTAACCTTATAGGCTCAGATTGTACCCAATCAATAGAAACACTAATGCACCAACCCCCCTAAAATAGATACTACATCTTAAAGGTCTAATTACCATCTTCAATTTTCAAGGGAAGGGGGAAACGACATATTAAAGCCATAGATTATGTATAATTTGTGACCTTATGTAATATTATCCCTGAAAGCAAAGACCTTATTTTACTATTAGGCATAGAGTCTAGTGAGACATTACACGATCAATTATTGTCATATGTAAAAAAAATTAAAAACTAGCATTTCATAAACTTGCAATCTCCAAGTCTATGGCATTCTAGAAAATGAATCATATGCCCTATAATAGATATTAACTCACAGTAATCCTTGAGATAATGCCATTTATAATAAGATGGGATAGTTTACTTTCACAAAACCTATGCTACATTTGATAACATTAAATATGATTGAAAATATAACTTATTATTGCAATAACTTAAAATGCACCAAAATAACTAGATTTCCGAAATACACCACGCTATGAACTACACATGGAAAGTTTGCTACACTAGACTAATCCTTCAACTTTTGGTATGATATAAATGATGGGTATCAATACTTTGGTTTTAACTCCAAAAAAAGTGTAATAATACCTAAAGAAAAGGTAATAGACTTCAATAGAATTATAGACTAAAGCAATACATGGAGTTGATGGGAGTTGTAGTCTTTAAGTTGGAATAATAACAAAGGAAAAGATGAGGAAGTTTTGTTAAAATTTCAATAGTAGAAGTTAACAAAGACAATTTGGAGTGCTTAACCTAAGCTGTAAATCAGCGCAACTAATTATCCCCCAACACTTGCTAATAAACCATTTCAAGGTAGATTCCCAGGACAAATAACAACTACCAATGTGCTTAAATATTATGAATTAGCCAAGCAAAGAAGCAGACATTAACCCATGAAAAAATGCAACAGTGGTAGTCAAATTATAATTACAACAAGAAGTTATGAATTATCACAAAAACATTATGTAAAATACAAATCTCATTAGTTCTAGGAGTTAAAAAAAGTCCTAGGGTTCAAACCTTCTTTACTTCTTTCCCGAGAACAACTACACAGGGTCAACAATGATGGATGACATTTGATGGAGTATTGCCATCGCTATTGCCATCATAAACACAGGAGCTTGTCATTCTTCACTCCTTCTTCCATCGTCTTTAAAATCAAGACCCTACCTTACTCTCCTTTGTTATCGTCACCCTTGGAATCACGACCATTCATCATCATTATTGGAATCATAGAGTTGCAGTTAGAATGATGGCAAAAATCGCATTGAAGCAGAAAAGGAAGAGGGGAATTTGATTAAGGCTAATTTAATCATTTACTTCTTAAACATAGTGTCACTGCAGGACCCATTTCATTCCCCAAATTCCAAGTTCTTATGGGCAATAAATATTTTGCTCAAGTCTTTTTGAGTAATTCTCCCTTATTTCTATAACAGCACGAATAAGATCTTTACCAAATAGGAGCAAAAAGAAGTGCTTTGCTAGAGACAATAAACTTTCCCATTCTTGCTAAGTGTAATTTTCTTAATCCATCTTGCTTAGTCAAACCTAATAATCTGCTTAGATATACTCCCTTCGATTCTATTTATAAGACACCTTCCAGAAGTAATTTTTGATCTAAAATATAGGACATTTTGTAACAATTAAATCACTTTTTCAATTTTACCCCTTCTTGATTAGCGTGAAGGTATTTAATATAGATGTATTATTATTTAAAGATAAGGGTAAAAGTGAAAGTACCTCTCACATTTTTATGATATTAAGAAAAAAGTTAACTTTTCTTAATATATGTGAAATAGTTGAAAGTATCATGTAATAAGGACCAGAGGGAGTATATGCAACTTAACTCTTTCAACGAAGTCTAGTTGAGCTTGCTTGGAATTTTCCTCTAGTTATCTTCGATAAAGTCTCATCAATTGAAATGGCTTTTATTTAATGGCACTAAATGGTAGATCCGTAATGGCCTACATGTCTCCTTCTTTGATAATTTTTGGTTGATTCCTGACACAAAATTGAAAGATCTCTATGTAAGACCTTTATCTCCTTTTGAAGAACAAAGTAAAGTTGTAGATTGGGTGGCTTTCGATTCCTGGGAATCAAATTAGCTTCTATTCTTTCAAATGATGTCATTCTCAAGCTTATATTCATTCTCCCACCCTCCCCTCAAGCTAGGAACGATATTATGACTTTTTATTTGGATGGTATTCCATAACAAACTTCCTACCAACTTATGGTGAGGCTTATGGTCCTATGCTTCTTCTCTCTGTAACTAGTGCAACTTGGCACATAAAAATGCTCTTCACACCTTGCATGATTGTCATTATGCAAGATGCTTTTGGTCTCAATTAGTGGATAACAAATACCACTCGACCTTTTTCTCTTGTTCTCTTAAAGACTAGGTCAACTTAAACATTAAAAGTGATTTAGGTTATCTCCTAGACTTGGAATGGAGTATTTTTTGGGGAGTCTCTATTTGGCACCTTTGGAAATGGAGGAATAATTTTATTTTCCAATCATACTTCATTAAACCCAAGGACTCGGCATCATACTTGCTAGCTATTTGGAAATCCTTTTCCTATCATCATTTTCAAAACAGTGAAGATATACACACCCATCTACCTGGCTCCCTCCTCCTATAAGTTTTTTTAAAACCCAATGTTGATGGTGCTATCTCTCTATCTAATTCTAATGTTGGATGTGGAGGAGTCTTTCGTGATCATTTAGGTACTTGGATCGCAAGATTCACCTTTCAATCGGGTCAATGTACTCCTTTTAAGATTGAAGCTTGGGCCTGTCTTAAAGGCCTTCAAATTGCTTGGGATTTGTTCTTCAAAAATATTATTTTAGAATTTGATTGCAAAAACCTATTGACGATTCTAGGCTCTTATCTTGACATCTCCTCCAATTACAGCCATATTTAGAGATTATCAAGATGCTGAAATTCAATTAGTAGATCAAGATGAACCATATTTCAAGACTTCAGAACCAAGATGTTGACAATTTAGCAAAAGAGGCACTTAAAGTCTCTTCCTTGTTCGATAGTGTTCCTTTATTTCTAAAGGACCTTATGCTTAATGATTGTATGGGATTTCAATCCCCCCTTTACTTAGTTAATTAATTCCCTTGGGCTTTACCCTCTTTTCTACCAAAAAAAAGCACCTTTTCTATCTTTGCAGTTGATGTAAAGTGCATTTTAACGGCCATGGCTAGCATAATCCCTTTTTCACTTATTATTTTTTTATCAGGGGAATGAATTAATGTTTTGCTGAGCTAATTAGTTATAATTAGATTAAACATACAAATTCAAATTTATATAAGTGGTAGAGGTTTTTATCATTTAAATAAGTGGTAGGCTCTTATTTCTTCCATCCCTATATGTGAGAAGTTTTTTAAAACCTTTTTTTATCTTTAAATATAAGAGGTTATTAGCATATTTTTTTAATGAATGGACCATTATACTCTTATTAATTAAATTAAAAAGAGAAAAAGATAAGTACTCTCATTAATTTATTTTTAAAAAAGATTTATTTTTTATTTACAATAATTAGGAGCAAAATTGAAATGTTATTGATTTTTTAATTAGATAATTAATTTTTATTAATTTACATGATTCAGTTAAAAATGTTTTATATATAGTGATGGAGGGAGTATCATTTTAAGAGAAATATTTTCTGTGCTCAACAAAAATCTACGCCTTATGCTTAAAAAAAATACATTTTAACTATATACTTTATTCTGAGTAAAAAACATAAAATATAATGATGAAATAATTAAAATTAAGATCTTTTGTAGATTAGAAAAATGCTTGTCACGTGAAACTAGTTTAAATAGCATGTATAGATGGGATGGGGGTCAACAATTCAAACATTTTGGATACAAAACTTCTCTCCCTCTCCCTTCCCCCCAAACTTTTTAAAGTTGTCTTTCCTCTTTTGTAATGAAGGAATTATTACATATTTGAACTATTAAATTAAATTTAATAATTTTTAAACATATAAATTTAATTTAAGCAATTTGGGTTTGTAGAGGAGGAGCAGTAGAAGAAAAACCCAGTGCAGAGAAACCTGCCCCATACTTTTTGTTGGGTTATTGTCATTTTGATGTGCGTCCTTAACATTTTTTAACAGTATTTTTCACACCTACTTTGAGGAAAATCCAATCATGGTGAGGCTAAAAGCCCAATTAAATTAGATCCACGCTCATACATTTGTTCGTGTAAAAATTATAACGTTTGAATTGAAAACCACTTCACTATTATCTTTTTTTTTTTTACCAAAAACGAGCCATTGCTATTTTCTAACGTTAACCTTTAGGTTTGGTTTGGATGGATTAAAATAAAATAGGTAGGAGAGAAAATTAAATAAATAGTAATTTTCTTTTTCTATTTTTTAAGAATTTTTCCTCTGAGTTTTTGTTCCTCTCTACTGTATTTTTCTCTCGATCTAAATGTCTCCTACTCTCCTAACCCGAAATTGTGTTCGTCGGCTGCTAATAATTCCCATTAGAGTGCAGGGTCTAGGCACCACAACATGATTTTTCGTGTTTTTTTTTTTGGTTAAATCAGAGTATGGTCTTCAAAATTCTTTTATCTGGTGAAAGATTATGGACTTTGCCAATAAAGCTGGGCCCATTTATGCAACAAGAAACGAGTTTCAAAAGAAAGGCCCTACAAAAGCCCATACCACAAAAACACGCCGAAATCGTCATCTTCGTCGGTCTTCTCTCTCTCTCCTTCGCATCGCATCAAAGGTCACACAAACTCACTGCAATATACATATCAACGAAAAACATGGCCGCACACTCGGAAAAAACATGAAGTAGCGTAATCTTCAACCTCTAAAGAAATAAGACGAATTCCCCAAGTCGAAGCACTCCGGCTCCTTCTCTGACACCGGTGGCATTGTGCTGAACATCGGGCTATGCACGTAATCAATCGTATCGAAACCCAAGTACGGGTACGATCCCCCGCTTGTTTCCGTCACGGTGCTCTGCTCCGAGTATCCGAATTCGTTACCGCTAAACCCATTGCCCATTTCGTATCCCGCTGAGCTCGTAATATCTGGTGGCAATGGAGGAAGCTCAGTGTTACTATCATCATACAGTTGTTGGAAATGTGTTAGGTTATGACCCTCCACTGTTTCAACTTGATGTTGTGGATAATTATAAGCCTCAGTTGAAAGTGAAGACCAATTGTTACTATCCGAAAACGCGATGAAACCGTCGGCGAGTTGAGGATTCGCGTAGGATTGTTGGGTGAGCGAGTTTTGGTCGAAGAAAGACGAGAAGTCGTGGTTCTGGTGGGTTTCTTCGTCAGGGGAGATAATGGAGGTGACAGAAGAACCGGGGGGCGTATCGGAGTAGACGAAGTTGGTTCGGGCTCGTGAGCCGCGCATGGACCGAGCTGCTCTGTCGTAAGCCAACGCGGCTTCTTCAGCAGTGTCGAAGGTGCCGAGCCAATGCCTCTCTTTGGTAGAAGGGTCTCGGATCTCCGCGGCGTATCTTCCCCATGGCCTCCTCCGGACACCCAGGTACCTCCCTCCCCATGCCGCTTCATGTTTTTGCTCTTGTGTTGTTGCCATTGCTGTAGCTGTGCTTGTTGTCGCCGTTTGCTTCTTTTTGGCCTTGGACGACGACGACGAAAATGGGTTCATCATGTGCTCGATGAATTACGTAAGAGAGATGAGTTGTCTTGTACGTGGAAGAACAAACGAGGAGCATATAATAGAGGGAAGTAGGGGCAGGAGACACAACTGAGAAGCATGCGAGTAAAAATCAAAAGCAATATTATTTGGAAGAAGAGAAGTTAAGAGAGCAGAAGAGTTGCCAATATGACATGCAGTCACTCTTGCTCTTTCCCTCCTCTTTCGTTTGTTGTTGTGTTGTGTTGTTGTTGTGGAGTCAGCATGTGAATCCATGGTTTAAATAAGGAGAACTAGCTCGGGAGAACTCCTATTAGCCCCCCAACATTTCCATGAATTCCATCTATATCCCTTCTATGAATTAGTGTCAACACGTGGCCTCTCTTTCTAAACTTCATCCACATATATGTAAGCTTCTGTTGCAGTTATGTCATTATTGAGCAATCTAGTCTATTAGAAAGGAAACTCTCTTCGTGAAAAAAAAAAAAAATTGAAGGGAAGGAGCAGGGAAACAGAATCCATCCCTGGCTCTTGAGGGGTCCAGGCAAACTTACAAAACTCTTAATAAGAAATGAGTTTCAAATGATGAGAGGAAGATGTAGAAGGCGCATTAGTATAATTGAATCAGGATAGGAAAAGAAAATTATATATGTGGGTGGTATAATTAGAAATCAAAATGGCCCATGATAAGCATGTTCTCTTAGATGCCCCATTTGATGATTATTCTTCAATCAAAGTTGTGCCTTGTTTTGATTTAGCAAATATTATTTTTAATTACGTGTCTCGTTTTGAATACCCCATATAGTCCAAAGTTGCTGCATGTGACCTTTCCATCAAAACATGGGATTGTACATGAATGAGGAACTAATCATATAGACTCCACACAAAATCTAAAAAGATATAGAATCGCTACTTATATATGAATATGAAGGTTCATCTCATGAAATGGATCAGCCAAAAGGGAAAAGTTTATGAAGCTCAGCTGCACATTCTAATGATAATTGCAGGTGGGAGAGCTTCGTGCTCTTTCTGATGATTATTAGGTCCCATTTAGAGTACTTAGAAGATGAGATCTTTTAGAATAAATTAGTTAGATTTATCATTGGTGATTATGTGGGTGCTATGATCAATCTACATTTGATAATTTGGCTCCATGCTTATGCAGCGTGCCTTGCCTGAAGAGATTTCTTGTGATTTATTAGCGTAAAGCATTTCTCTTCTGTTCATGAAGGAATTGAGTTCAAGTGCTTTGCTCTTCTTCCCCGCACACATGCAGACGTGTATATGTATGGCTATTCCAAAGTGATACATATATGTTTTTGAAACAAAATTGAAGAAGTTGGTGAACACTTTTTTCGGCTGTGATTTTTGTGCCATCATTTTTTAATGGCTATATAAATGGTATATGATTCAGTCTTGTTTAGGTATAGAATCGAACTGTCCATTTAAAACGAGTTACAGTGCAAATTATTACTCAAATAATGTTTGCCAGTTGGAATGGTGATCATCAAGAGCCATAATTACACCCATCTGTAGAAATCTCACCTCTTTGAATGCAATTCTTTGCTTATGAGTTTTTTTTTTTTAAATACACCATTACTTATGAGTTTTAGCAACTCACATTTCTTCCTTTCCTTTTTTTTTTGGGTAAACTTCTTCCGTTCCTCTTTTATTTATATTGTCGGTTACAATTAATTTATTGGGCTTTTTTTTGCTATCTCAATGTGAAGGCCTGTTTTTCCCCAATATGTTTGAGGCAGGGTAAAGGGTTTTGTTTTCTGGTCTTCAAACGGAACGATTCTGAGGAGGCGATCTAGAGTTCTCTATTTTTTTTTTTTTGGGATGAAATGAAATATTCATCCATTATTAGGTTATTGTCAAAGTCTAACTTGTATGAACTTTTCTTTCTTCCTTTTTTTTAATAATGGGGTATTTAAGGAATATCATTACTCACCCATGTGCACCCAATTTGAGCCATGAAATTATCAATGATAAGCTCCACAGTCTTCTCGTCTTTTCATCAAACTTCAAACACCAAAGTTAACTTTTAAGTGTTCATATTTTATTGGTAATATTTCCTTTGAAAATTTTGCGAAGGTTGGAGCTAGTATATATTATTTCTATTCACGTTTGGAAATGTAAAGGAAACTGATTGAGACGAAGCCATGTTGGGGAGCATGTGAGAAAAACACATAGGCGCAACTTTTTTGAAGAAAACAATGACTAGGCATTTCTTAATTAGAGACAACTAATTGCAAAACCTGTTAGTGGAACTTTGACCAGATGTCCCTAACAATGTTGTGTATGAATTTGACCAATTTTTCAATCAATGTAAAGGAGGGATTAGAAAGTTTGAATAATATTCAGTCACGACAAATAATCTGATTACTTTCTGGTCCCATATTTCATCTAGGATATCTCAGGATCAGGATTGTTGTTGGGAAGGTGCAATTGGCATTGAGATAACATTTAGTAAACACAGTACATCTTAATTTCTGATGGTGTTCAGAAATTTAGTTGCATAGTACTTAAATGATTTTATTGGAAGGGTTTTTGGATTTAAAGTACATATATCAAAGGGGAATAGCCATTGGATACTAATTGAAGACATTTCCTTTCAAAGGCCTTGAACTTTGCTGGCAAAAGGGTTATAGGAATGTGGAAGTCTTTTGTGATTGTATGCAAGCCATTGCTGCAATCACAAGAGACAACCATAATTATCTTCCTTTTGTGAATATCATTGATTCTCTAAAACAGATTTTATGTGGGAAGTGGTTTTGTTAATTTTAATTTTCTGTACAGAGAAGACAATAGTATGCCTGATTATCTAGCTAAGTTTGCCTATCCCTAATGATTTTAATTTGTTCTATTTGCCACCCATTTGTTGATTAGGAGTGGTCTTTAGGTGGTTTTTTTTATCTTGTATATTTTTGGTTTGCATTCTGCTGAATGAAGTTTCCCATTCATATTCCCAAAAACCAAAAAAAAAAAAAAATTAAAGTGGTCCTCCTGAAATTACAGCATGTTGATGTACAATATAAACGTACTAAGTTAAAGTGATTTGTCCAAGAAAAAGATTGGTGGAAGAACCCACAAAAGACTTAGAAGAGGAGACAGATGTTAATTTTACCCTGCTTTTTGGCCACCCAGTTTGATATCAAAAGTATTTTTAATATAAAGATCCATTGGGATTTGAATTAAATGCGTTTGATACTGTTCATTAATTTAGGTTAAACATATGATAATGGCTACTTTTGTCTTCTTCAAAGGCTTATAGTTGTGCGTGCACCCAAAGCATATTAGTCCCACACCCGCAAAATGAGAAAGTTATGGTCAATGATTCTTCATAAATTAGCTTTAAAACTCATTAATCACTAATCAGCTACTACGATGACAGTTCAAACTAAAGGCATCATGAAACCGTTTTACATTGTTCACCCTACTTTAAATGTTAGTTCGAAGATCTATTCCTTACATTTCTATTTTTTTTTTGGGGCCAGATATTCCTTCCATTTCTTATTATAAGAACTTTTTAATTGAATTGCATTGAGAGAGGATAAGATAGAAGAGCAGAAAGCTCACTTTTACTTTATTTTAAAATTTATTTAGTCTATGTTTAGTTATCACGAGTTTGAATCGTAGTAGATAAAATTAACCTAAAAATTGATACAAATGAAATATTTCCCCCCATGTTACCCCTTAACCAATAATGCCAATATTGGCTCAACATTTTTCATAACTAAGATGTTTGATTAAGACATAGTTATTAGACGTAGCCCTACATTTAAGGTGAACATATCCCTCGAATTTCTGCATTTAAAGTTATTTTTATGTTTGTTGAAACCATCATTTGATTACCATCTGGGTTAGGTAGTTTTTCTCATTTTGAGTTGGTCCAAAAGAAAGTTCCTTTTTATGTTTGTTGAAGAGTGAAAATTGAAATTTCTACTTTTGATGAAAAAAGAAGGAAAAAGAGAGACAAAGATTCGTAAATCAACTGTATTTAATGGTATTTTTTGTCTTTCTTGTTTGAATCCCGTATCAATAATCTTATCTTGACTAACACAGTATAGTGCACAGTCATACGCAATAACTTCTTTTGCTGGTGCCTAGTGTCGTTGCCTTCATGGAAATGAATGATTGGATTGTTAAATTATTATGACATGGTTTTAGGACAATAGACTTGGAATGATAATAATCATGATATATAAGCAGCTAATTAAAGAATGCAAATTTACGTCTGTGATGCTTTTGAATTTCATAGGGATTACATCCAAAGTACAGAAGCTGCAGTATTAGAAGGTAACTGCGAATATTTTTGTTTCGAGTTTCTGAAAATAGTTACTAATTTTGCTTCAAACTGACAGGTATATTACTCCACATAAGCTGACACCTAATATGTATGAAAAGAAAACAAGCTCGTGGGAAAATGTAAACAAAGTGATGAACAGCGCCTAACACACCAAGGAAACATGGAACAACTATCCAAAATGACAATATCGAGGAGGTTATTGTTCCTTAGGAATTAAGTAAATTGAAACACAATAATGGACAATCCCTTTCATTCTTGTTGTCATTGAGTGGTTACATGGGATAGGAGTATCAATTTCGTGGCAAACATCCACCTCTTAGAACATGAATCTTGCTCCTTCTCGTGAAGTTTGCCTTGTCTTCATGTGCGGCTCTAGTGGGCCCCATTGTATGCCATCTTGTTTGTCAAAATAGGAAAGAAGCACTTTCTCCTGTTCTTCATCCTTAAGTACAAGTCTTAATTTTCAAAAATAACCCTTATAGAAAATAAGAATTTCATGTCCTTGAATTTTTATAAGTAGATGCACTAGTTCCTATGGCATTACATAGATGGTAAAAAAAGCAAAAGGAAAAACGAATTTTTACATGATATATAGATTTGGAAAAATTGTCCAAAAAGACACCAAATTTCATTTTGTTGAGAAGGACTTGGGACATTAGGTCCTTCACTGACATTAATTCAAAGCTCCAAATGCTAGATTGCCCCTTGTAATTTAAAAAAAAAAAAGGTTGAGCAAGATCATTCACTGTCAATATATTGTACAAGGTTTTTTGTTGTCAATGTGTTGCAAAGTTCTTCATTGTCAATAATTTGGGGACAATATGTAAAACATGGTCCTTCATTGTTAATATATTAAATAAGGTCCTTCGATGTCAAAATATCAAACAAGGTGTAAATTTTTAAAGTATCTAAAATGGTTATT